CTGAAGAGGAACCTAGGGTTGTTTTTATTTTCTTCTATTAGTGTTGATTAATAGGCTCCTCTGGCATTACGGAGGGCCTCAAATGTTGGATTTTTTTTTTTTTTAGCAAATTAGTATGTAAATAGAAATGTACTTAGAATTAAGGAAAAAGTCTTAACAATGGAGCTTTTATTTAGGTGAAACATTTCACAACATCTAGTTTTCAATGCGCCATCAGTTGGATTCTGCAAAATGCTGTCGGGCCAAACATGCAACAAAGGGTTTTGGTATGGTGGACACTATGTTCTAGTTACAATGACTGATGTGTCTGCACATGGCCCACCCACACAGGTGTGTTCTCTACTTGATGTACTGCATTGGCATCTTCCTGCCTTTCCTGTTAGTTCTGTTGCACCTGTTAGGGCAAGACAATCTCCCTATTTATCATTCTTATCTCCTCGCATCACCTCCAACCTGAGCAGAGCTTTAATAAAAAAGTAAAATTACTCATGTAGGTGTTCAGAGCCTTTAAGATAAGATAAGATGTTCCTTTATTGATCCCCTGTGGGAGAAATTTGAGTTTGACATAGCAGCTTTGTCTGTTTACATCTGTAGATTTCTCCTACAGTTATCTTTAAATAATACCTATTTTGCATATTTAAGTATAACATTTCCAAAAACGTAATAAAAAAAATGAAGTAATGTAAGTAATCTAACCCTAACTGGGGAGGTTTCATGGTGATATCATTTAGTTAAATTATTTTCCCCTATTCACCTGTAGTGTCTTGAAATGTATGGAATTTCACAAAACATCTTTATAGGCCGTTTTGTCTAAATTAATATTTTCTCACACAGAAATCTCTACTTCATTAGCACTTACACTTACATACACAAAACCTTCCTGTTTTATTTGTATGATTTATTTACCCTGTTTTTCTATAACACTGAACAGTATGCTGTGACAATCAGCTATGTATCTTTCTGATATTAACTTGTAACACACAGCAAGATCAGCACAGGTGGAACTAAATCCATGAATGTTGGCTTCATTCCATGGTGTCTGAGTAAATCAGGGCCCTGGAACAGACACACCTAAATGGGAAGCAGCCATTAATCATGTTATCATACAGGTCTATTGTAAAATCTACAGGTACAGAGGGAAGGGCAGTAATGATCAAAGTTGTATTGTTTATTAATAACGAGAAAGCAGCATTCTATGCCAGCTGCATAATGCAGGTAATCTGGGCCAGAACAAACGATAGGTGATGAAATAAAAACTTGATGTATGATTCTGGGAAAACACAGAATACTAATTTATGGTAATTTAGTATAAGAAATAGTTGAACCGTTAACACACAATCATCAGCTTCCATTCAAATGTTTGTGAATAAGTGAAAGTATATTAAATTGGTCATTTTTAAATTGCTGTTTTTTTGAACAACAAAGCTTCTGTCCTTTTTGGCTGTTGGTCACCAGGCAGCCCTGAACATGCTGACACGCTGTCAAGCTGAGGAATTCAAGATACACAACATACTGGTGACATCAATCCACCCTGGCTGGGTCCACACTGAGATGGGAGGAGAAGAGGTGAGGTGGTTGAGAGGGTAGTGCTGTAGGCCTTTTCAATACATGACGCAAAATGTCACACTTGTAATTTCAGAAGGTTTTAAGCTGAAGGTATTTGCTGAAACAAACAAAGCCCATTTCACTTTTACTACTACTTTTAAGTAACATTTTCAATGCAGGGCTTTTACTTTACATATAAAATCTTGAAACTGCAGATAAAAACAAACTTTTAATTTCAAGCATCTCGGCTTTCCAAGAACAAATGTCTCAAAATTCCTTAAGAATATTTCCAGTTTCTATTGACATTCCTCTCTCTGGTGTTTGTTGTCTCCCCAAGGCTCCTTTGACCACGCAGGACAGCGTAATTGGCATGCTCAGTGTGATGTCATCACTCAGCAACAAAGACAGTGGGATGCTGCTGGACTGGCAGGGCAACATGATCCCCTGGTAGCAGTCACCATGACAACCTCACCAGACCCTCCAGACTAATGGTTTTGCATATAAACCTACAACCTACACACAACTGCAACACAATAAGATACCCAGTTAATTTGTCCAACTCAGACTGCTGAAGCCCTTCTATTTTATTTATCACACATTATCACATTTTATAGTGGCATTGGGTCATAGTGAGGATGGACAGGAGGGATGATTATAGACAAATAATAATTTTAACATACATATGAATATGTGACTATTATGTGAAGTTAGAGGTAAAGAACGAGTATAGGATTCAGTGGCATCTAGTGGTGAAGTTCCAGATTGCTACTAACTGAATACTGCTCACTCTTCCAAGTGTGTAGGAGAAACTATGGTTCGAAAAATGTGAAAGGCCCTATCTAGAGCCAGTGTTTGGTTTGTCCGTTCTGGGCCTAAGAAACATGGCAGTTCAGAATGGTAGACTCTGTAGAAGGTGACCCGCTCCCTCTGTAGATAAAAACAGCTCATTCTAAGGTACCAAAAACGATTCTTATTTTCATACACTAATGAAAACATATCTTGAATTGTGTCCTTAAAAATCTAGATGAATTAACTTAATTGCCCAGAACATCTTGCCTTTGATTGATAGTTTTTTTCACAGATTATCTGTCTCATAGTGAGTCCATATAAAAAACTTTGGTTACACACAGATGTTCATGATGAGCCCTTGACATTTGGCACAACATCAACCAAACACCGGATGTGTTTATACTTTGGGGGATAGCCTGGGGCCCGAAAACCACTAACTGCACTTTTCTTCTATTTTCAAAGGCCAGTACTGAAAAATATGACATCTGCTAGTGCAGTAGCTCAGTCTGTAGGGACTGGAGAGGTGCCAGTTTCACCTCCTGTGCACTGCTGATGTGCCCTTGAGCAAGGCACCTAACACCAAGAAACTGCGCCGCGTGCTAACGTGGCCAGCCCATCACTCCACCTCTCTCTCCCTGTTGCATGTCACAAGTGTGAAGTGTGTATTTCAGCCTGTGTGAAGAATGAAAAAGAGTGAAAAGAATTTCTCCAATAGGGAATTAATAAAGTATATATCTTCTTCTTCTTCTTTGAATCATTTGGATCTCTCGTACACCGTTTTGTCAGTGACCTTGCTTGAGCTTGAGGAGCTACATTTCTGAAAATATTGAACCCTAAAAATGGTTTCACATCCAAGACATCTTTTAGGGTGCAAAAAAAACACAACTGTTAGTTACCACTGAAAACATTCATTTCACACTACAAATCCACAATAAAATAAGTGGGGTCAAATTTTTAATTCTGTGATTTTGCTTCTTCTTTTCCTTCTCTTTGCAATATAAATCAAATAACAACCTAAAAGCTTCCTAGCATTGAGACTTAGGTTTCTCGCTATGTTGAGATAATCATTGGCACAAGGTTAGAAAATTAGGGTGATATACAGATTCCTGTGCAGACTGACTTTTCACATCATGAATATTGAAAAAAAAAGACACCATAAAAAAACACTGTGTCAGAGAAAAGAGGAAAAGAAGGTTTAATTACATTTGTAGTTTTTAACCTTTTACACTCCTTTTCTCTAATACATGCCTCTTACAAAACAACCTACGCATAGTTTTCCAAAAAAGCAACTGAGATGGCACTGAGATCATCTTTAATAACTTTAACTGTTCAGTCAGGTGGACATCTTTTGGCAGCAGTGCTGCCTGCACTGGTGGATTGAAATCAGCATGGCAACGCGTTGAGCCACAGGCCGTAACGCACCGCTCCGACACAGAGGCAACATGGCAACGTGTATAACTGTCAGTTTGTCATTAAAGTTTAAAGATGGGTGTGAGCTCCAGTGTTTTTTGTTTTTTGGAAAGTGTGCCTTTGTCAGGGATGGAGAGGAGCAGAGAAGTACTACAACATACAGTCATACATATCATCTGGAATTTACACATCCATAACAATAATGATACAAGGATCAAGAATCAGAGCCATAATTATACGGTATAGCAATAATAATAACAATTGACACCTTTCTAAGTCCCGCCCCTTTTTGTTCTGTGCTCCAATAACAGTTGAGCAATCCTCAGTCAGAACCTTGATCAAATTCCTCCTTTCCTGTACTTAGATACGCTATATGCTAGGCTAATCTATGTTGAAAAGACAACCACATCTTGAAGATGGTTGAAAGATAAAAGATAGCTAATGTACATCAATTCATTTGTCAATTAAATAGCTAGCTTTTTGTGAACATTAGCTATCAGATGTAACTAGCTAGCTAATTATCATATATATTGACATCTTTAATTAGCTAATGTTACCAAGACTAGCTAACAAGCTAATTAACAATTGATGTAAACTGTATGAGTCACTTTTATCTTTTAATCATCTTCAAAATGAGGTTGTTTTTAACTTAGATTAGCCTAGCACATAGCCTAAGTACAGGAAAGGAGGAAGTTGAGGATCTGACCGATGCTTGCGCAACACAGCAAAAAGGGGCAGGACTTAGGAAGGGTCAATTATTGATATTGTCTAAAAACTACACTTATGTTTTCATATTTTCTTTCTTCTTCAAAAAAAAAAAAAAAAGACCATATATTTATATTTATATACTGGAAGTTCTCAAGTCTTTTTTCTGGTTTTCTGACTAAATAGGTAACTTAAATATTTACAGTGATTATTTTACAACCATTGGCCCAGCCCACTGAAGATAAATGTTCCTTTTAGCTTGTCTAGAATAAAAAGCGCACAGAGAAATAGAGGAATGGTCCTGGTGAAAGGCGAGGTAGGGAGGGAGCAGAGGATGGATGTGAGGTCAGCTTCCCCATTCCAAGACAGGGTCCTAGACTCCCAGGATCCATGGCCACTGCACAGGGTTTCCCATGCTACATATCAGGAGCACAAGGGAATGGAAAGCCTCACCCTGTCGAGGCATGCAGGGCCTCCAACCTCACACTGGAAGGGTGCACAGGGTTTCCTGCAGCACTCTACAGGGCGTACAGGTTCGTCTGCCCCTTGTTACAGAGAGGATTTACTGCCCTGTGTTCCTGGGACTTCTCAGTTTGTGTCACTGTTTGGTTTGTTTTCTTCCTCCCCCCTGACCACCCTACATCACCAGCAGCTGCCCCAACACCATCCTGAACTGCTGCGTGCACCCTGCCAGCTCTTTCACCCTCTCAGTCATCTCTCTGGCAGCTCCAGGGGACGGATACTGAAGCGCCGCTGTCTTTGTACTGATCACGATGTCTTTGAGTTTTTCGCAGAGGGTGTTGCTGCTCTGGGCCACCCGGGCCCTCACGTCAGGGGACTTGGCCTGGCGAGACAGTGTGTCGCCAATGAATACCAACTTATGCGCGCTGAGGATGACAAACTTACTGTGCGCCACGAAGATCTTAGGGGGCTGGTTGGAGTTGACAGAGGTGAAGAAGGCGTCGATGGCGTTGGTCACAGTGGTGACGTTCTGCTCACATTGCTCCTGGTAGAAGAGGAGGAGCTGCCGGTCCCCATGGCACAGTTTGGAGGAGGAGGGGCCCCCAGAACTGTTCTGGGCCAGCTGGTTGGCCAGAGGGTTGTGTGGGGACGGGACCCAGCCCGTCATGTCATTGTTGATTGGCCGGCTGACTTCCTGCTCTAGCCGCTCAAACTGTTTAATCTGGAAGAAGAGGAAGAGCAATGACACTTTTAAATCATTGTAGAGCTGTTGTACAGTCAATTTACAATCGATTAATGGTTTTAAGTCATTATCAAGAAAATCTGTCAACATTCTCTGCTTCCAGCTTATGAAATGTCTGGATAGGCTGCATTTCTCTGGTTAGAGAAGGGTATCTCTGCAGACTGGAGACTTTGAAAGAGCGGGGTAACTGTCAATCATTTTTTAATTTGGTCAATTAGAGTCTTAGAATCCTCTGTCAGCCAAAAACTAATTTCACCAGTACCCCGCCTGAATCAGCTGGAGGCTGGATACAGGATTTGGGTTAGGTTCAAGGGGGGTTGAGAGCTGGTCCTGGCATGGAGAATGTGCTGGAGGAATCTCTTTAATTCAGAAAAACAGAACAACCTACGGTTCTAAGTACCTGTTGCTGTTCCAGTTGTGTCTTGTGTCTGATGATGTTGCCTTTCTCCAGCAGCTGTCTTTGGTTCTTCTCAAACTCTTCCTTTCCCTGACAGATCAACACACACACAGTTGTTACACCATGTGCACTCACTTAAATGATTTGATTAACAGCAAACATCTGTGTGTGGATCAGTAGGAAAATCACAAGTAATAGACGGCTTTTCTCTCCCCCTAGCGGTGACCAACAGGAACTACAACAACACACATTCCTTGCTCAGACTTTTTTGTCAAAAAGGGTGCTGACTCTTCACAGGCACATGTATAGGTGTGTGTATATATATCTGACGCAAAAGTTAGCATTTTCCAGATTGAGTGTTTCCCTCTGCCATGTTCCCACATACACACAGGCCTCACACAGTGAGCTGAATTCATTCATTTAGGCTGCAGTTCTTATAGTTTAATGAAACAATTTGTAATGACACTATGCTTTTTCCAAATACTGTTTCCCTCTGTCTGAGCTGCTATCGCAGCCTCACTGCAGCAGCAGACCGACTATGCTTTTACTTTTGCTTTTGTCCACTTTGAATGAAGTTATGATGTTACGATGATATGTGAAGTAAATGATTGTTTTTTTCTATGGAGTCTGGTGGAGAGTGATAGTGATAAACAAAAGGTCTATCTCTGTAGGGATCCTTTCCATAATGTTGTCATACTCTTAGAATAACAATCTGAGCCTGTTAGTGGCAGAAACAAGAAATGTAGTTCACACTGCTCCTCAACACTTTTGTACTACCAGCCACCTCCAGCAATAGGTGTGGTTTCATAATGGTAAAACACAACAAGAGAGTTTCTTATTAACTTGTGAGGCAATGAAATGTCCTAATACCTATATAAAAATGTGCGTGTGTGTATGTACCTGTAAATGTACGTAGTCGTAATCCTCCATCCAGCCTTCCTCTGTGGTCTCATACGGCCTGTCCACACCTTCCTCTTCCTCTGCAGCTGTAAACTTTGGCGGAGAGGGGAGGGGCCGCGACTGAATGTTTACCTTCTCCCCTCCTTGATAGCTTCCACTTCCTGATCCTGTCATGTGACCACTGATCTCCCCTGGGATCGGAGGAAGCGGCAGCTGCTGCTGCTGCCGGTTGGTCCGTTTGAAGAGCAGTGAGGCGTTACCGTGCAGAAAGGATGCAAGCTGCTTGGCGTCGTCGGGGATGCCTCGCGCTGTCATGATTAGTCGATCTAAGTCATCCCCTCCTGGTGGTGGTGCCGTGAGTGCAGAATGCGACCAGGAAACAGCATCTAAGCTCTGACTGTGTCGAATCAAGCTCTGGAACACCTCCTCCATCTTCCCCACCTGACGGCCAAGTTTGGTTTGCAGAGAGCGGTCCGTGGCCTGCGCAGCGTTCGCCACAGCGCTCCGGGCAAATTCTAGGAAGTCTCGGACAGTGGCGCGCACCCGGTCAGCAGCTTGATGTATTGCTGCGAGGTTCCCTTCCAGGTGAGCGGGGCTTCTCCAGTTACCTGTGATGAAGGACATCATGAGGGAAACGCTGGACTCAACAGCTTGCTGCAAGCGAGACAGACGCTCCATGGCCTGCTCCAGGTCCAAGATGAGGGGCTTCCCTGGAATGGAGCCAGAAGCAGGAAGTGAGGAGGAAGAGGGGGTGTCGCGGACAGGGACCATGTCTAAAGATGAAGCGGAGTGGTTGCTCCGTGTGCTTCCTGTGCTCGAGGCAGACAGCCGCTTGAAGGACATGGTCAGCTCCTCACTGGTGGACTGGGCATCGCGAACGACCTGGAAAACACATACCATCATTGAAAGAGACTGTCTGAATTAAGGCAGGATGCACATGAGCTACAGCCGAAGATATACTTGCTTTTTAAACACTGATTCTGATTTCTGAGGTCCGAACAAACAGAATACACGAGGCAGCCATCGTGCGAACGCGTAGTTAAAAAGCAAGTATATGTCTGGCCTTGGTAACACTTTCACCCTGTCTCTTCCTTCCTCGTCCTCCCTGTGCTAAACTAGCTGTGTTAACTTCATCAAGAAAATCTATGATATAAAGTATTTGTTAATGACCTCAGATGAAAACAAGACAAAACCTAAATAAAAAGCAATGATTTAATTTTTTGTCAAGAATCAACAACTAAATGAAAGGGACAAGATTGAAGACATAAATGAATGATACTGTACTATTTTAAAGCAAAGTCTGCACACCAGACACTTAACAACATAAAAAAGATAAGCCAACATTATTGTAACATTATCAGATCAACAGTAAAGCCCTTGTTCTTGTCTCAAGTTAAACCCAGACAGTAGAAAACAGACAGCTGCAGTAATGCTCAGTTAGCAAGAATGACAGTGAGTGAGTCTGTAATTAGAACTAGACTAAAAGTAGACCTGTCTTCACACTGGATGCACAGAGATGAAACATATATAGATCTTAACATCTGAATATTCCCTAGAATGTGGACTTCCCCTTTAACTGTCCTACCTGTGGTGGGACATCATAGACATAGTGGTCTCTCCTTTCTCCTCCTTTCTCTTCCCGTTCCCGAGGGAAGTCATAGACATCCTGGGCGGGATGACCTCCGGTCCGCAGGCTCGCCGGGATGTCATAGATCTCCTGGGTGGCCTGACTGACCCCGGCCCTGTCTCCGTGGTAATGCTTGTCGGTCAGGATAGGGGGTGGGACGTCATACACGTCCTCCGGAATGGGCGGCTCATCGTCATCGTTGAGATTGTTGTGCAGGTACTGGGCAGGAGGGACAGGGACTTGTGGCTTGAGTTTGGCAAAGTGGGGCGGTACATCATAGGTCTCCTCTCTGATTGGCTGAGCATCAGGGACGTCTTTACTGACAGACGGAGGGAAGTCATAGACCTGAAGAGAGAGAAATATCCTCTATCACATAGTGTTCTATTTTATTGTTTGTACTGTATGCATGTGTTTACAGCATAGTTACAGTTACAAACCCACAGTTTTAGTTTCCAAGTCTTCCCTGACATAGCAATGTAATGTGTGAATTTCCCTAGTGTGGGATCAATTAAGTCTAAATGATCTTATCTTATCTGACAGATCAACACACCTATAATTTCTGAAATAATTTAAGCGTATTGTTTACTGATAGCTATCTCATTGTTTTTATTTACACCTGATCAGTCGTAATCACACTATTAAACTGGCTTTATTCTGTCATTTCAGTCTCTGTTAATATATTCATATTCAATTAAATTTATTTTAACAAAATGTCCTTTTAAGAGACAGAAACCTCGAGCAGACCCTGGCTAGGTGGGTGGCTGTCTGGTGATATGTGGTGCACACATGATTAGATTATCTAATATTTTGGTTTATGACCAAAATCCACTGAGGCTGAATCCACTGAGGGAATACCATTAGTCTACAGCCATATGGACATTTTACTGTAGGTCATCTTTGTGATGATATTTTAGTCCTGTGTTTTGCTGTTTATGTAACATTTTTTCAACATGTGTGAAACAACCTGATAAATGCACTGTGCCTTACTCTATTTGTTAAATAACTGATTCAATGATGTGATGTGATTTTGGATTTTCAGGGTTTTTTCTGATATTAGGAAATTTCTCTTTTTTTGTAGTTGTCTAAAATGGAAATAAGTCTTTATAGTTCTTTCCCTGAAAGTCTGATATGTTGCATTTTACAGATATATGTTGGAATTACTGTTCACAATAAACCAAACCAACTAAAGATTACCAATACAATCTTCAGATTGCCAGTATCTAGCAGTTGTAACAAGATTGTTGTAATAGATAAATGCACTAGAACTCCCAAATCCAAAGCCTTACCATCTGCTGTGTATTCTTGTCTGCACTTGCTGGGGTGTCATATATATCTTGACCACTGGAGGGCCCCTTCACCACCATGGGAGGGGTGTCATACACCTGAACACAGAGCAAAAGACAGACATAAATAACATGTTATTAACACACATCACACTGGACAGACACACACACACACACAAACAAAAATCTGTCCGTGCAATGAAGTGCCATACACACAACATATAGGCCCATATCTTATACTATACTCAGATTTAATCAGTAGTTGTTACACCTGTCTGTGAAGGACACAGGTCTCTGCAGGGTTCAGCAAGTTACTTAAAGATCCTCTCCAGTCATGTATTAGGACATAAATACAAATAGTCTGCTAGGAACAAAAATGTGTCTCTGATATGTTTTTATGCAAAAAGTATTATTTCCACGTTAAATACTTAAAAAGTAATCTCCTCCTTCTACCTCATTAAGAATTCCAGAATCTGGAATATACAGTCATTTCTAAAGTTTTCCTGCTG